CCCCCCCCCTCCGTGTCCTCTTTTTTGATTGTGGAAATATGGTAACCCTAATTAACAAGAGCTAATTTTTAACAAATAATCTTATGTCTGAAGGTTCTGCTGACCATTATAATTCCCCTGAGATGCAACATTTACTTCACAAACTTTAAATAAAGCTAACACATTTATTAGTTTTTCTACTTTACTGAAATTGTTAACATGACAGGATGGGTCTCCCAAACATGGATACCACAGAGCCTTTATCACCACCGACCCACCCACAGAATCTAGTAATATCCATTGGTTAATATAACAGCAGAAAGGAAATTTTTACCCACTCAAAATAAGCTGAACAGGCTACTTTGTCACAGAAGAAAATCTAAAGATGAGATGAGAATACTCATGCAAGGGAAAACAAGAGATTGTTCTTATGTAAGTCTCTATACAAAAATTTATTAGCTGAGATATGCAAAATTAAGCAAAAATATTAAACTACATTTAATTACTTCATAGAAGAGCAGCACATGGACACTGAAAGTGCCACAATAAATTATAAAACCCAATCCTACAGACACACCGGACCATGCTTAAAGTTAAGCATGTACATGTTTGCAGGATGGGGTCATAGTAACCGACAAGTAATTTGTTTGTAGAATCTTAATTACTAGAGACAAGAGACCTATTGGATCATAGATTTCATCCCAATCCCCATGAGATCACCAGAGGAGGTCCTGGATATTAAACAGATAATGCACTATACTGTAGGAGTTGAGAATATTTAAACCAGTTTTAAATAGCGATGTTTGAAGGGTTTTCAAAGTGTCTTTTTAAGTGAGTAAGCAAAATGGGAAAACAAACCTGCTTCATCGCTTCCACCCGCTTGTTGAGAGCTGTAGTCTGTTCAATAAGAGCTTCTGCTGCGTTGTCATGTTCTCTTAGTCGCTCTACTAGTGCTTTAGCATCAGCTAGGGCTTTCTCAATTGTGCAACTCATTTCTAAAAAAATAAATTTAATTATTTCCAAAACAAGGACAATTTATCATGCAGCTGTATCACCACCATGTCATACCTCAAACACATCAAATGTGTTTTCATTAACTCAGAAGCAGTCAGATACAGTCTTTCCCTCATCCCCAAATAAGGAGAAACATCTTCACATTGCAGGAACTATTTTCTCCTGGGGAACAAGGAAACTCTGCATCCCTCATGGAACCCTGAGGCCCCCCATTTCCTTCACCACCTTTAATCCCCCAAATTCACTACAGCCAAGAGCTGAAACTTTTGCAATTACAAAAAGTTATGTCACATTAACTGAAATTAAAGACACCTAATTAAAGGCTATCAAAAATACAGGAATAGCACTTTTCCCCTTTATTTACACTTCAACCAGATTACTGCAGCTAATTTCCTGGCAATCTTAATACTGGAACACTATGTTCAAAGGACATCCAGAGAGTTCTGTTTCTGAGACTTAAATTTATCCCATAAAATTCAGTAAGACAGGGCAGAGATGGAACCATAGGCTATTCGCTATTCTGAGAGTGGAATAGCTGGAATTTAATATGGAACAAGAAGGAAAACTAGAGCAAAGAAAAGAGGGGCAGATGTGTTCAGAGCATAAGGGGAAAGGTGATGCTGGCACCTTCATTTTGTACTATTGTTTTGGCTCGTTCCTCCAGAAAGTATTACAGCAGTCAATATGAGACATGAGGACCAACTTCTTGCAAAGAAGGATAAGCAGGAAGGACAGAATTCAGGAGGAGTTGAAGAGACAGTGGTGTGACTTGCAATAGCCTTTTTGGGAAGTGTATATGAAAAGAGGAAAATCAAAAATTATTTCTAAATTTGGTTACTGAAGAGATCATGGTGTTGAAGCTAAAAAAAAAAAAAAAAAATGTGTAATTCCCCCCCTAAAAAAAAAAAAAAAAAAAAAAAAAAAAAAAAAAAGTTGTGTCATTCCCCCCCTATATTTTAAGGTCCCAGTGATGTATTTGAGAGGGGGGAAATCTAGAACTGATGCTGAAAGGCTAGGAATAAAGGTACATTTTTATGAATCTTGAGTGTAGAGGTGACCACTAACTGGGCAAGAGGAAATCACCCAGGGAAAAATTTGGAGGTCCAGAATAGATTATTTTTATCTATGTCTAAAAATGGCTCCAGCTACCACTGCATGCAGTATACTTTCCTCACATCAAAATATGGACTTTTTAACTGAACTGAGTAACACATCAATTTAGGACACAAAATGAACATACAGAAATCAATTAAAACTTCATGATCTAACATTACAGCCACTGTGACCAGGCCCTCGCTATGGCTAAGGTAGCAAAACTGTATATATTCAAATTTGAAAAACATTGGCCTTATGAGATTTTATACCCTTAGTCTTGGTACTCAGATTATATTTGGTTTCTTATTTGGAGATTTTGATGCAATCTCTTCAGTCATTGTTGAGTTCAGAGTATGGAAGAAAACCCACACACTTTTTCCATTAAAAAAAACCTGCTCATGCTTTTGAGCAGTAAAAAGAGCTACAGTAAAAAGACAGCAAGAGTTTGAAACTCGGCATAATAGTAGCCCTCAATGAAGAGTAGGGCTTTTATTTGCCTTGGGGAAAATTATAAACTATTAAAATAATAACTTCTGAGCATGCTTACCGAACATTTGCCAAGGGGGAGATTTTCAAAAGCACAAGAGATCATTTAGATGCCAAACTTCCCTGAAAAAGTCAATAAGAGTTGGGAGCTTAACTCCCTTAAGCCCCTTTGAAAAATCACAGCCAAGATTTTAAGCAGATCCTAATGAAGCCCCTATTTCACTACTGATTATTCTGACAGACTAGTCCAGGGTGTGCTGGTTAAGAGGGAGAATGATTCAATGAATCAAACATTTACACGTGAAGCAAAATCATCCCCATTCCTGCCTTACTACGATCAGGAGGGGGGGAAAAAGAGAATAATTTTATGATTGCTCAATAGTGTTCCGGCATTTTAAGAATATGATGCAAATCTAATTCTGCAAAGATTTTGATATCTATTTAAATTACACAGAAGTTTTAATTTGATTAATCTGACCGGAGACTCCCTCTCTGCCCTGAATACAACATATAATATACAAACATGTTTACTTTTGTATTTATGTAAAGGTAGCCAGGTGCCTTTTCAGGGATCCCATTGGTAGAGAATGGAAAAAAGCTAGTTTATTCAGCAAGTAAGCTTCACTTAAAAACTGGCAGATGCAGGCTGGCTGTAAATGGCTGTTAACACTACAAACATTTACAGGAAATAAGTGCATCTTTAACAGTTAATCTTGTGGGTTAATCTTTTTCGTTTGCAGTACCTAGCCAAATTCTTCAGAATTGTGTGTGTTACCAGATACAATCAGATTGATTTGTTTTGTCTTAATCGGGCTGATATTAGTTTTTTTTTTAATGAATATTAATGGAGAGTTGGCTCATGTGTTTTTTCCCCCACTTCCAATCTGTGTTCTTGTTATTTCTAGGTGAGAACACTTAGAACAACAAACACAAAAAGTTTGGCCACACAGGCTTGCAAAACTGTGATAGAAGCAAGGTTAGCCAGAACCATATTTAGATAGTTTAAAAATTGTTCTTTAATTTATTTTCCAGCACAGGTGTGAATGGAGCCTCACACCTTACAGTAGACACATTTTTTGCAGTCTATATTGGAGCTTATATATCATTAACTTTGATTCGACTACACCATTACTGGACTTTTCAGTGCTGACGCACCTTTCTAGGCAAATAATCAATTTTGCTCTTCCTACATTGCAGTAAAAAGCCTGTTTGTAGCAGAACCAGCAAGGTTCTGAATTACAGTGAATGACTCAAGAAAGCCTGTGAAATGAAACCACACATCCTGCATAAACATAGCTCTGGGGGACTTTTTGTGCACAGCTGACATTTAGGGGCAAGTCCAGGAGAAATACAGCAACATATGTCCCACCAAAAATAGTGGGAGCCCAGGTGGTGCAGAAAATACTCCCAGTTCTGATGTTAGTGGGAGCAATTTGTAATGCCATGTGTGTAAAACAGCTGAAAGTGCCTGAGAAAGTAAAAATTGGACAGTAACAGACTGAACCTGGTTGAGATTCTAAACATAGTGAACTTTGAACTATACTTGTAGCTGCTTCCATCACGTCACACTGACTGTACATTCATTTTAGTTTTCAGAGTGACACACAGACTGACATTCTTGGAACCATAAGCCAGGAACCCACTAGGCTGGGCATTGTACAATCATAAAAAAAAAAAAAAGGATAATCCCTACATCACAGAGTTTATGAGACTTTCTACTCAGCAGTTTGGGCTGTGCTTTGGAAAAATCATTTTTAACTTGAGCAGAGATGTGACCAGTCTATCTACAGAGTTGGGAATACATCACTGAATTTATATATCTGGAAGGTTTTCTTTGCAACCATTAGGGCAATAAACTTAACACTTACAATCTTAGATTCTATAACAACGGTAGCCTCCCTCCTCCCCCAAGGAAATGCATCTAAATGGCAAGTGGATATGTCAAGCCAGGCCTTTTCACGGATTTCAGAAATGTCAGCGTTAGCACAGAGCAAGATCAACAGCTCTGACAGCACAGCAATACAGCCACCTACATGCTCACTTCTTGCCACTTCCTGTCGTTAACTAATTACTCTGAATCTTATCAAACTCAGTTGCCTTAAAAACATACTAACCCCCCTACACACACACAACCCTCCTGTGTCTTTCTGCCTGTCTCCATCTCTGCTAAAAACCTCTCTGCCCGGTTTGTTTCTCTTAATTTCTCTCCCTTTTGAGGATTAATTTTCTAACACGGAACAGTTTTACCATACGGAGCTTGGGCAAAGAGGCAAAGGCGCGTCTGGGCGAGCACTGCACGCAACCTCTCATGTAAAACACACAGCGAGCAGCATCCATCCCCCTTTGTACAGTTATCACGCGAATCCCTCTGCGCCTGACAGCAAAATATTTAAGCGATGCCGCGGTGTGTTGGGGACCGTAGCCGTAGGAGAGCGGGGTGGGGGGGGTGCAGGGGTGCTTGGCCAGGGCGGGCTGCCCCAGCCTGACGTCGGCAGGAGAACGGCTCCAGCTGCCACACAGGCGCGTGCCCGACAGGGCTGTTTGGGTGCCGCGGCGTCGCGCGCTGGGCGGGACAGGAAGGCGGGCGGCAGCGCCCGATAGTGTTACCTCACGACAGCGGCACGTATCGCGATAGCAAGGGCGCTCGCGGGTGGACGAGGCCCTCTCTGGCTAACGTTCACCGGGCACGGCCACAGGCGCCCGAACGTCACAAACGCCTCCTCCCCCGGCAGAGCACAGCGCCCCCAGCCCCGCTCCCTGTAGCCCTCCCCCGGCGTCAGGGGGGCCCCCGACTCACTCATAGCCGGTGGCTCCGGCAGCGCTAGGCGCCGGGAGCGGGCGGAGGCCGCCGCTTCAAATCGCGGCGAGTGCGGGGGGAGGCGCCAGGCCGAGGAGAGACCCCATGAGGGGGGGGAGCGAGACGCTCCACAACCACAGCTACCCGCCGGGACGAAGAGGCTGGAGGGAATAGAGACCAGATATCGCGAGACTTCCAGCCCGTTCCACCTGCTCGGCTTGTGGTAAAGTGCCACAGCCAAATATCGCGAGAGTGTCAGTTTCTCTTGCGAGCCCCTTGGGAAGTCCCGCGAGAGGCTCTACGGACGGTGGGTGTGTGATGTCCGAGTCTCGCGATATCACTGTGGTTACGGTAGCCAGGCACGGGCATGGGGAGTGAATGACCCGGGTGGGGGGGATCGCTGTGGCCAGGCCCGGGGCAGCGGCGACAGGCCCCTGGGCTACTGGCTTAAGCGGCAGCTTCAGGGTATCGGAGCCTGAGGGGTGAGCGGAGCGGGGAGAGCCCGGCTGCTCCCCGCGGGTGCCGGGGCCGAAGCGCGGCCCAGCGTTGGGGGCGGGCTGTGGGGCAGCGGCGGCAGGAGGGGGATGGAGGGAACCAGGCCGCCGCGCCGCCCTCTTGTCCCGGTGTAAAGCCCAAGTGCGCCTGCGCGCTCCCTGGGAGGGCAGAGGCCGCCCCAGGCGGCGCTTCTCCGGCAGAGGATCAGGCAAAAGTAAGAGACCCCGCCGCGCCCTGTGTGTGTCTCCCAGGAAGTGGGACTCCTGGGTTCTGTTCCCGGCTCTGCCACTGGCTCTTCCGGCTCCCTCCACTAATGCTGGGCCCAAGTCTTCTTCGCACGGCGCTGGAAGAGGTTACGGTCTGTCTGTGCTCGTATTTAACCTGTTCTTAACATCCGGACAGCTGCTCCTGTTGCTGAGATCATCTACCGAGCTCGCTCGTGTGAATAAGCCTTTAGAGGCTGAAAGAAGAAAACCTCACGTGAAGGTGGAGCACGGTATGACCCTGTCCACACTAGGCCGAAAAACATGCTTGTTTATTTCCAGGGAGAAACAAACCCAGCGTGTGTGTGGTTTGCTTGGTTCCTTTGTTATTTTTTTTTTTTTAAACTGCATTGTCATTCAAACTTTGTTTGCAGTGGTGATATAGTCGTGTTGGTCCCAGGATATGAGAGACACGGTGGCTGAGATAATATTTTTTATGGGACTGATTTCTGTTGGTGAGCAAGACAAGCTTCAAACTTCAGGTCTGGCAAGAAGAGCTCTAGGTAAGCTCAAAAGCATGTCACTTTCATCAACAGAAGTTGGTCTGACAAAGATATTACTTCGACCACCTACCATTCTAAACTTTTGACATAAACATATTTGAATCATTTGAATTCTAAAAACATTCTAACGTCAAACTGTGAATGAAAACGTTTCCTGTTTTTAAAAGGCATACAATAAGAACATCAGTGTTCCTAATGGGTGTAACAGGAAAGCTCTAAAATTTAGAAGGCTTGAGGGGAATAGGATTGGAAGGAATATTTGGAGTGTGACATGGATAGTGTGTGGGACCAGCTATTGTAAATTGGATAGGGATTTGCTAACTGTTAGTGAGGCTTGATTTGCTGGAATACAAAAATTTCTGTAAGGTGGGGAATGCATCTGATAACTTTGTTCTATATAACATTGGCTAGTTCATATTTTTAAGTCATAAGTGCTGAATTCACTAAGTGGTTGCTTGTTTTTCATTGTAAGCGTAGTATATTTGAATTCTGCAGGTCAGTGCTGCGCATAATGAATGGTGATTATTAAACCGCCACCAAACATCAGGGTATGAATTTTTCTGATTTAGTGTACCTAGAGTTGAAGAAAATGGTAAGAAATAAGTGATTCAGTGGACTGAAGTTATGAAAACAGATTGTCAGTAGTTAAAACAATGTTTACATTTTATTTTAAGTAGAATGATTTGTGCTCATTCTAAAAAATGCAGAAAGTGAGTTTCTTTTAGATCTTCAAGCTCAAATGCGCTATTGAACAACAACAAAATTCTAGTGGAAAAACAGAACATTGACAGCATGGATGGTTCTGAAAAATGCCATCTTCAACACTGAGCATATCATGGCATTTCACCAGCTCTTTAACATTGGCTTAATTCTGAAGAGAAAACTTAAAAATGATTCAGTCTGTGAAACCTTTCCATTACTTAACTGGCATGACTTACTCCCAAATACAGAGATCATAGGTAGAGCCCAGAATATGAAGAAACATGGTTGGTAGAACATAATCTTGAGTTCCTTCTCTTCTGGCACTTAGAAGTTGAACATCTTGATTTCTACCTTAAATCTGTGTTTGTGAAGGAGATTATGTCACATCCAAATGGTGTGAGAATTGTGGTAGTAAAATCACAGGGGACTGTACAGTTGAATTCAGAGTTTTGTCAGTTTTTAAAAGACCTCTTCTCCTGTCTGGTCAGCATCGATCAAGAATACTTTTAACTCATTTGGAATGGTTCATAATAGGAGGTTCTGAAAAACATAACTGTATGTAAGGACAGATACAAAAGCTTGGTAGTCTTAAATAGGTCATAGTCTGGGGACTAACGGGGACGTTGTATGCGCCTGCGATTGCGGCCCCGCTTCGGGGCCGCGGTGCAGCCGTTAAGGACCGCTACGGGCGAGCGGGAGCATGTACTGAGCCGGCCCAGGAGCCAGGCGCGGCGGTGACACGGAGCTCGCCCCCGTGGTCTCTGCTTTCTATGGCCCGCTGCTGAGAGAAGAACAAAATCACGTTCACATGGGGAAAAAGTCAGCGTTGATGTGACTCTACATCGGGAAAATGAGATTCTCCGGAGAGCCAGGGGGTTCTCGGAGTGAGGGTTTCCGCCAGCGCTAATGCTGTGTGTGTTATATACAGTGTGAGGCTATAGCTGCCTGGATTTTATTTTCTCTCTTAAATAAAATGATGCACAAGACTACATTTGTGCAACTTGGCCAAGTCGACTCTGCGATACAAACCTTCTGCTTGAGATTTCAAGAATATTAAACACTGGTTTGGATATGGAAACTCTGTCTATTTGTGTGCGGTTGTGTGAGCAAGGTATAAATCCAGAGGCCTTATCCTCAGTAATTAAAGAGCTACGCAAGGCTACAGAAGCGCTAAAGGCTGCTGAAAATATGACAAGTTGACTTCATGGGAGAAGATATCTCAATGAGATACATGGCGAGCTAGCAAAGGGTTTGAAGACTGGCTGCTATTCAGAAATATAGAATGAAGTTAATGTTGTCTGCAGTCTGGGGACTGAATTCTTTGGTTTACTTATAGAATAGCAACTTTAGACAATTGTGTTCCTTTTAATGTTTGAAATTTGTTTGGAAGCACAGCTATAATACTGTTTGCATCCACATTCAACCTGGTTACAAATAGTGTCTTTTCTGTGTTTAGAAACTGTCCAAAAATCCTGATGCTGACGTTGGGGAGACTACAGTAGGGTTTCTGATAGCAATGTTTTGTTCAAATAGTTCTCCATGTTGAACAGGGAAATAACATTTTGATGCATGACAATTTTGAAAGGACACAGGTAACTTAATCTCTAATTTCAAATAATGAGTTTAAAATAGTTTCAGGTAATAGATTTGTGCCCCCAAGTTTCCATGCCAATTTTTAACTTTGCAATTGCATTTTCCTATTCTTTAAAATGCTTTTCTTTCCTATTGCTGTGTGAAAGATCCATACGAACAAAAGGGAAATCTGTCTGCAGAGGTGGAAGAGAAATTGACAATCCACAAAATGCTGTCAAATGCACAAACTAACAAACTGTAAAAGAAAAGTTTCTTTGCTCTTAAAAACTGTTTGTCTTAAGTACCACCACCCAAGATTACTTACTATAAGTGGTTTACAAAAACAAAAACAAAACACAAAAGACCATACAGATGAGTGGTTTTTTAAAAGTTGAAATAGCTAGCACAAGTTAGCATAATTTCTGGTGTGAAAATCATGTATTGAGAAAGCTAAATTTGGTTGACTGAATTTGCTTTGCTATGTGTGCTGAGCGCTGCTCCTACAAATATCATGAACTACTTTAGAGAGACAAGGTGGGAAAGATCATATCTTTTATTTGACCAAATTCTGTTGGTGAAAGAGAGACAAACTTTCAAACTACACAGAGTTCTTCTTCAGGTCACTGCAATGAACTACTTTGGCTGCTGAAAAATTGCTTACTGCTCTGTAATTCGTTATTTTCAGAAATAATATTTTAAGGTATATTTTTAAAAATAAAAGCAAAAAACATGACTGTTTACTAATTTCATTTTTAATCCTTATGTGAGGATGAACTGCAAAAAAGTAATACCTATTTATTATATGCTTTCTCGATCACATTCACTTCAGTTTTCTTCCCTTTCTGGGGAAAGTAGCTTCTTCCTGGGCAGGGATTGTGCATTACTAGTTTTTAGTTCAGAAGGATTTTCTTTTTAAATACCAACCATAAGTAAGGCAAACAAACAATGAAAATATGTATTTATGGTGGAAATATTTGTGCATCTTTAACTAAAATCTTACCAAGAGCAGCTCTCTAATAAAGTTAATATTTGTAGTACAAATTTAAATAAAATAACACTAAACATCTTCAGAGACTTAAAGTTCATATAGTGGTCTTTTCTTGTTGCTTTGTAAGTTTTTTGTCTAATTTCAGGATTTATTAATTTCAGGAGGAAAATGAAAATTTTCTCGGAGTCCCATAAAACTGTTTTTGTTGTGGATCACTGCCCATATATGGCAGAATCATGTAGACAACATGTTGAGTTTGACATGTTAGTAAAGAATCGGACCCAAGGAATCATACCCCTGGCACCCATATCAAAATCACTGTGGACCTGCTCGGTGGAATCATCTATGGAATACTGTAGAATAATGTATGATATTTTTCCTTTCAAAAAACTGGTAAGTGCTTCTAAGAGTACTGCTTATTGTAGAGATTATCTCATTTTAATGGGTGCTCTTTTAAAATTATTTTTGGATGCTCTCAGATAGAAAAGCAGGTGTCTTAGATCAAAAACAGTGGAACCTTTAAAAATTGAATTTTTCACCGTTTAAGCTGTTGCATTACCCTTTTCACTCAGTTGAACAATGAAAATAGTTTCATTTTAGTTTATGAGCATTTTCACTTTCTGGTTATCTG